ACGTGCACTCACCAGACAGAGAGAGACAGAAAGCAAGAAATCACCCCCCAGGGGGGATGGCCATGCCATAATCCCTTGTCCTCCATTCTCCTCTCGGGATCTTGGGCACGCACGCACATGCACCCGGCATGAATTTTAAGCAACCAGGTCTGGGACATGAACTGCAGTCGATTACATGGGAGTCCAGCGACATAGTCATTACACTAACTGCTGGTCCCTAGGCAGCTAATTCTTGACAAGACCAAAAAGAAAGATGTAATGATCAAAGGACAGTTTGTTCAATAAGTGGTGTTGAATAACTGATGTAAAAGAAGGAAATTAGACCCTTATCTTGCACCATACATGAAAATTAACTCAAAATGAATTAAAGACCTAAATATGAGACCCGAAACCGTAAAACTCATGGAAGAAAAGCTTCTTGATAATTGGTCCTGGCAGTGTTTTTTTTTTTCAGATACCATACCAAAAGATTAGGCAACAAAAAGAAATTTAAACAAGTAGGACTACATTAAATTAAAGAGCTTCTGCATGGCAAAAGAGACAGTAACATTGTGGAAAAACAACTTACAGATCAGGAAAAAATATTTTACAAATCATGTATCTGGCAAGACCTGAAGGGGATGCTAAAAATATTTTCAAATCATATATCTGGAAAGCTGAAGAGGATACTAAAGGTAGTAAAGTCAAGGTGAGAAATTAAACACAAAGAAGGTTTGTGAAATTGCCTCCTCCTCCAAAGCCAAACATCAGCCCCAAAATGGGCTCTGCAAAGAAGGGAGACACCCAGAGGAAAAAAGGGAAAGCCTGGCACTGGCAAGAAAGGGAATAACCCTGTAGAAAATGGAGATGCCAGAACAGACCAGCCAGAGAAAGCCGAAAGTGCTGGAGATGCCAAGCAAAGTGTCTGCAGTTATTGATAACTCCTTCTGGTGACTGTACAGTTGAGAATACTATTTTTTAATCGAGTTTTATAAAAATGCAGAATTGTGTAGATTTTTTTTTTAACTGTGAGCAAACAGAATACTACATTATTTTGGATGGTAGGGGTATTTGTCACTAATGGAATGTCTCCAAAGCTGCATTTGATTGGGGGAAACGTCTTTCTCTTCTAGTTTTGAGAAATTTTCTCTCAGCTCTCAAGAGGAATTCCCTGACATTAACACACATAGCTATGTTGGCCTTGCATTGTAGAAAAACTGAAATTTGTTTTTAGTTCTCTTTCTATTCAGATTCAGCATAGAACTAATTGCCTTAAACCGGATACTTGTTGGAACCTGACCACATAAAATTGGTTAACAGTATGTCAGTCAGTCTGGACTTTGAAATGGTATACCTCAAAAGAGCAGTAGTTCCTTTTCTATATTGTGGCTCTTTAGACTTATAATTTTGCCATTTTCATTTCCTAAAAGTCAGGGTGGGCTTGTGAGAAGTTGTTAAACAGCATGCTAAATGTAATGTCAACCCTTGTGCTCTAAACTTTTCCTGTTCACAGCATCAAATGAAGATTTCATGGACTGTATAGTGGATTTCTGGAAATATTCTTGGTTGTTACAGTTGGAGTGTGTAACTAGTGTGTCAGGGTGCTGCTGAATATCCTATAGTTCCTATCCTATTCCTATGTCACTAAATATTCTTGGTTGTTACAGTTGGAGTGTGTAACTAGTGTGTCAGGGTGCTGCTGAATATCCTATAGTTCCTATCCCCCATAACAAAGAATTATCCAGGGACCAGCAGGTGGCGTAATGGTTATGTCACTGGACTCCCACGGAATCGGCCACGGTTCACTGGGCACATGTGTGTGTGTTGTCAAAATCCAAAGAGATTGGAGGAGAAAGGATTGCAGTATGACCATCCCCCAGGGGATGATTTTTCTCTTTCTGTCTGTCTGTATCTGTGTCTTTGGCGAGTGCAGGTACTCTATAACAAAAATCTCTCAAAAAGCAAAGAAAATTATCCAGCCCAAAATGCTGAGATTGATAACCTGTGTTCTATAGATACACATAGTTTGCCAACAAAAGAATACCATTTTTTGGTTTTGTTTCACAATAATCCAGGGGCTAGGGAAGATAGTAATATATAAAATAAGACTGTATTATCCATGAATCATTGACCATGAGTAATGGGTATATGGGAGGGTTCATTATACTATCTATTTTTGTGTATATACTTTTTTTTTTATGTTTCAGAAGTATTCTAATAAAAAAAGAAAGATGAAAATATGTATGTTTTCTTTTTTTTTCCTCCGTCTATAGGCCCTGTTAAACCTGGCAGAGCGACTAGGAGAGGCTAAGCCTCGAGGATTGACTAAAGCAGATATCGAACAACTTCCTTCTTACCGGTTCAATCCTAACAACCACCAGTCAGAACAGACTTTGTAAGTATATTTTCTATATCACTCTATTAAATTCCCTTTTCTGCCTTTATGAAATAAAAGCTTAAGAGTCAAAGGTAACTTCGAGTTTTCTCTATTTTACTCCAGAATTATGCTGTCCACTAGTCCAAATATTTAAATTTTTGTTTTGTTTTGGAGAGGTTTTTGCCATATGGCACATGTGCTAACCAGAAAGAGAGAAAGTGAGAAATCATCCCCCTGGGGGCATGGCCATGCAGCAGTCTCTTCTCCATTCTCGTCTTGGGATCTTGGGCATGCACACACACGTGCCCAGTGTGAGTTTAAACCACCAGCTCCAGGACTTCAACCGTGGTCAACTACATGGGAGTCCAATGACAGCCATTACGCAAACTGCTGGTCCCCCAAATATTTAATTTTATTAAACAAAATCAAATTTCTTAGTCACACTAGCTAATGACTGCCATGTAAGGAGGTTTGGGTGCAGAACATTTCTGTTATCTGAGAAAGTTATATCCAACAGCTATCTTTTATGGTTTCTAATTCAAATTTTAGAATATTTTAACAAGATCAAAAAGTCTCATACATAGAAAGTTTAGGGTTTTTACCTGAAAATTCTTCATAGAGTTGTACTACTATTACCACAGTCAAATTAAGACCTTTTTTCTCACCCTACCAAGAAGCTCTTTGCCTATTAGCAGCTGCTTTCCATATCCTCCTATTCTCTCCACCCTGGTGCCTCCCTACAACCCCAGTCTACTTTGTGTCTATAGATGTCACATAAATGGGATCATATAGTCTTTTTCTATCTGACATCTTTCACTAAGATTAACTTTTTCAAGGTTCATCTATGTGACTTCAGTTGATAAGTCATCCTGCTATGTGGATACAACACATTATTTATCCTTTCATCAATTGATGGACATTTGGGTTATTTCCACTTTTTGGCTATTATGAATAATGCTACTGTGAACATTTGTATATAGCTGTTTTTGTAAATGTATGTTTTCATTTCTGTTGGGTACATACCTAGAAATGAACTGCAGGGTCATATGGTTGACTGTGTTTAACTTTTTCAAAGTGGCTACAACATTTTATATTCCCATCAGCAGTATACAAAGGTTTCAATTTCTCCTTATCTTTGTCAGTACTTATTAACATCTGTCTTTATTAAAGCCATTCTAATGGGTGTGAAGTGTTATTCACTGAGGTTTTGATTTTTATTTTCCTATTGCTAAAGATGTTGAGCATCTTTCTGTGTGCTTTATTGGCTGTTTGTGTATCTTCCTTCTAAAAAAATAAAATACAGAAAACACCCCTCTTAGAGGCTGGTCACACTGCAGTCTCTCTCTCTCTTTTAAGAATAATTTGTTTTATTTTATTTATTCATTCAGTCATTTTCATTTGATCAGACACACAGAAAGGCAAGTGAGAAAGCAAGCACCAGTTTCAAGACTCAAACTGTGGTCGGCCATGTGGGAGTGTCCAATGCCTTAATAGCCACGCCACCTGCTGATCTGTACACTGCAGTCTCTTTTCCTCCATCTCCCTCTCTCTCCTTTGAGGATTATCGGCATGCACACACACATGCCCAGCATGTTTTTCAAGCTACCAGGTCCAAGACTTGAATGGTGCAGTTGGCCATGTGGGATCTAGCCACCTTAATCACCAGGCCATGGCTAGCCTCATTTGTGTATCTTTTCTAAGGACATGTCTATTCAGATCCTTTATTTTTAAATTGGATTATCTTTTTGTTGTATTGTAGAAGTTCTGTATATCTTATATTGTAGACACAGGTCCCATATCAGATCAATTATTTTCAAAAATTTCTACCATTCTGTGGGTTGTCATCTTGTTTTTTGATGGTGTCCTTTGAAGGAAAGTTTTTTAAATTTGTTGAACTTTTGATTTCTCTTTTTTTTTTTTTCCTCTTTCATGTGCTTTTGATGTCATATCTAAGATACCTTTTCTTAAAAGAAGTTTTGGCCTTAAGGCCCATATGCTTGCCAGAAAAAGAGAGACAGAGACCATGAGAGGGAAAATGAGAAATCACCCCCTAAGGGTGTTAGGCACACCACAGTCCCTTCTCTGTTCTCCTGGGATCTTAGGTATGCATGCAGTGTGCCTGGCATGATTTTCAAGCCAGTGGGTCTAGGACTTGAACCATAGTCAGCCATGTGGGAGTCCAGTGACAACTGTCACATTATCTGCTGACCCCTGTATCTGAGATACATTTTTCTAATCCAAGGTCACAAAGATTTACCATATTTTCTTCCAAGAATTTAATAGTTTACATTTAGGCTTTTGGTCGGGGGGGGGGTAAATGTATGATGTGAGATCAGGTATCACCTTCATTTTTTGCATGTGGTTAGCCAATTGTTTAATCACCATTGTTAAAAAATATAATGTAAAAAATATATATATATATAATGTAGGGGCCAGCAGATGGAATAATGTTTATGCCACTGGACTCCCAAGTAATCTACCATAGTTCCAGTTCCAGACCCAGGTGCTTAAAACCCATTTCAGGTGGAGCCAGCAGGTGGCGTGGTGGTTAAGGGCACTGGATGCACACACGCCCAACCATGGTTCAAGTCCTGGACCTGGCGACTTCCTGTCTCACTTTCCCTTTCTCTCTCTCTGCTCAAATTAAAAAATATAATAACAACAAATAGAAATAAATAAATAAATCTTTTTAAAAAATCAACACGAGCCATGTGTGCGTGCATGCCCAAGATCTTAAGAGGAGAATGGAGAAGGGATTGCAATGTGGCCATCCCCCTGGGGGGGTGATTTCTCACTTTCTATCTGTCTTTACCCCACCCTACCCCCGTGAGCACATGTACCCTATAGCAAAAATCTCTCTTAAAAAAAATTAAAAATAAAAAATATATAATTTAGAACACATGTGCTCACTAAGGAGAGAGAGGAAAAAAGAAAGAGAAGGAGGGACCAGCAGGTGGTATGGTTGCAGTGCTAGACTCCCACGTGACTGACTGCAGTTTGAGTCCCATACCTGGTGGCTTGCTTTCTCGCTTTCCTTTTCTCTGTCTCTGTCTCTTTCTGGTCAAATTTAAGAAATAGTAATAACAAATAAAATTAAACAAATTGTTTTTTAAAAAAGAAAAAAGGTGAGTGAGTGGGACAGTCTTGCCACAATCCCTTCTCCATTCACCTCTTAGGATTTTGGACATGTATGCACATGTACCTGGCATGCCTTTTTTTAAAAAAAAATATAGTATCTTCAGTATTAAGATTGGCTTAGATATTAGCCAGAAATTTTCTTGATAATTTGTCAGTAAGGTAAAGCACCTTTGGAAAAATTAAAAACAAGAGTCTCACCATGTCACAATCCTCCCTTAGCCTTCTAACTGGGACTATAGACATATATTTCCTCTCAGCTTTTTTTTTAGCAGAGATGGCTTACAGGTGCATGACATTGTGCATGGTCTTTAGTTTGGACCAGGAATTGAACCACACTTCCCATGTGGTCCCAGACCATGAGCACAACATCTTAGCACATGTCACCACAACTGGGCTTGAAGCACTTTTACTAAATGCCTTACCATCATAATTTTTTTAGGGTATTGGTGGATAATTTTATCTAAAAACTCAAGTGGCATTGTGATAACAATAAGTAGTTTAGTTCAGTAGTCATAACAAAATAGGAAACCACCTGGTTTTATGGTTAAATGATCTTTTTGTTTTTTCAGGTGTGTAGTATGCATGTGTGATTTTGAGTCAAGGCAGCTACTTAGAGTCTTACCCTGTAACCACGAGTTCCATGCCAAGTGTGTTGACAAATGGCTTAAGGTAAAGTGGATGGCATCTATAAAGGAAATAACACTGAATTTTCTATTTTATTGACCATAGGTTGATTAGAATAAGTCTGATTTAATGGAGGGTGGGAAAGGACACAAAATTGAAACAGGTTTCAGAGTGTGAGCTATGCCAAGAAGAGGAAAGGCCAGTAAAAATGAATTTATCAGCATGAGAGCAATTACACAAAAGCCGAAAATAGGTTGTTAGTCCTTGACAATCAGTGTTCTGATTGCTATATAGGGGAAAGGCCTGAATTTAGGCCAGTTTCCACTAAGAGTTTAGAAGGATACCTCCCTGGACCTCCTGTGTCAAGAAGTTTGTGTGGGAATAAACATCTAGTATTTTGTTTAATTCTGATCATTTTCTCCTTTGTATCTACAATATATATTTTTTAAGCCCAAAGGACATAAATGTATAGCAGTGGATAAACTAGGGTAAAGTTTCTGTAGGATTTATTTTTTCCTATTTTTCGCTTTTCTTATTCTTCATACTTTTTTTTTTTTTTTTTTTTTTGGTATGGGGCACACATGCTCACCAGAGAGATGGGGTTGAGGGGGAGAGAAAGTGAGAAAGCACTTTCGAAGGGGATGACCACACCATAATCCCTTCTCCTCCATTCTTTTGGGAATTTGGGCACATATGGCCCACCCTTTTTACTTTTCTTTAAAGTTATTTATTTAATTGTATTTATTATTATTTTCTAATTTGCTATAGGGCACATGTGCTCACCAGGGAGAGAAGGAAAGTAAGAAAGCAAGCCCAGTTAGGTCTGGGACTTGAACCATAGGGGGCCATGTGGGAGTCCAGTGTCCTAACTACCTCACCATCTGCTGGCCCACACCCTTCATATTTTTATAGTCTTAAATTATAATAGAATAAAAATGTGAGGCAGTAAAATAGTTGGCTTTATGTCATGGTTTTCTTATTTCTTTAACTGCATTCTGTTTTGTAAAATGCTTCTGGTTTGGTGAGGAAGATTGATTTCATAGTTTAGCGAGGAAAATAGATTTTTTTCAAAAGAGTTAAAATGTCAGGAGAGTCTTCAAAGAGTTATGGAAAGTGCATATTTTTCAAAGATATGTATGGGATTTATTACACTAAAGTTAGCTTGTAATTCCATTTTCTTTTTCATTTTTAAGAATTATTTTAACTTTTCATTTTTTTGGAGAGGTTTTTGCTATAGGGGCATGTGCTCACCAGAAAGACAGAGGCAGAGAGATAGAAAGCAAGAAATCACTCCCCAGGGGAGATGGCCACATTGCAATCCCTTTTCCTCCATTCTCCTCTCAGGATCTTGGGCACACATGCACACATGCCCAGCCCAAGTTTAAGCCACAGGGTCCGTGACTCAAACCATAGTCGACTACATGGGAGTCCAGTGACGTAGCCATTACACCATCTGCTGGTCCCATTTATTTGTTTTTTTAATTTTACCGGAGAGGGACAGAGTGAAAGAGAGGAGGGAAAAGAGAGAAAGCAGGCCACCAGATCCAGGACTCAAACTGTGATCAGGCATGTGAGAGTCGAGTGCCCTTAATCACTATGCCATCTGCTGGCCCTTATTTTTCTTTCTTTCTTTCTTTCTTTTTTTTTTTTTTTTTTTTTTTTTTTTTTTGAGAGAGAGATTTTTGCAGTAGGACTATAGGATGCATGCACTCACCAGAGAGAGACAGAGAAACAGAAAGTGGAAAATCACCCCCCAGTGGGGACAGCCACACCTCATTCCTTCTCCCCCAGTCTCTCAGGATTTTGGGCACACGTGCACATGTACCAGTGTGAGTTTTAAGCTGCTAGGGGTGGGATTTGAAACACTGTCAACTATGTAGGAGTCCAGTGATGTAAGTATTGTACCATCTGCTGGTCCCAGTTTTTTGGTGGTTTTTTTTTTTTTTTTTTTTTTTTTTCCTTATTTTCTTTTTTAAGCAACTACTGGATCCTGGTTTCAAACCACAGTTGACTACATGGGAGTCCAGCAACATAACCATTATACCATCTGCTAGTTCCCAGTACTATCATTTTTTATGAACTTCTTGAAGTTTTATTGTAGAATCAGTTCTCTGAGTGAGTACAGGGTACCCACCTTAGCCCAAACCAAATCCTGAAGATAAGAGTCTCAGTTTTAGAAAAAAGCATTATATGTTCAAAGCCCTGATGTGGAAGTAGGGGAACAATAAGCAAAACACAAGTTTCATGTGGCCATAGATGGAATATGAGGAAGAGTGGCAAGAGAAGGTATTTAGAGATACAACCAGTGACATCTTACTATGAAGTCATAATGAAGTGTGAAAGAGTTTGGACTTGATCCTGAAAACAATGGAGAAAGATATGACTTGTTTTAGATGGGGCCAGCAGGTGGCATGGTGGTTAAAGGCTCTGGACTCCACATGGCCAGCTACATTTCAAGTCCCAGATCTGGTGACTTGCTTTCTCACTTTCCCTCTCTTGCTCTGTCTCCCTCTCTCTGGTCAAATTTAAAAAATAATAAATAGAGTTAAATAGTTCTTTTTAAAAAATATTTATTTATTTAATTCCATTTGTTGTTGTTATTATTTTAATTTGACCAGAGCGAGACAGAGAGAGAAGGAGAAAGCGAGAAAGCAAGCCACCAGGGCCAGGACTTGAACCGCAGTCGGCCATGTGGGAATCCAGCACCTTCAACCACCAAGTCACCTTCCAGCCCCAATAAAATAATACTTTATTAAAAAAAAATTGATGTTAGAAAGATCACTGGGGGCTAATAGATAGCATGGTGGTTAAGACACTGGATTCCCACGTGGCCAACCATAGAGTCCTGTACTAGCGACTTGAAAATCAGGGCAAATAAATATTGTGGGAGGGGGAGGATCATTGGCCATTGTTTGGAGAATGAAATATAAAAATTAATTTCTGAAAGACTAGGAGATAGAACACAGACAGGTTGAGCTAGACTGAGTATGGGTTGTGGCAGTTGAATGAAAAGAAGGACTGATTTGAAAGCCAACAGAGTGTATAGAAAAAGATAGTATTAGATAAATAATGGGTTGTAAAAAGAGAGCAGGTGATGCTTATGTTTTTAACTCTAGCAAGTTGGCAAGTGGTGGTACCATTTGTTGAGACAGAATATCAAGTTTAGGAGCCCAGGAAGGGGTGAGTATGTAGAGCCATGAAGCTAGATGGACTCACCAGTTTATAGTCAGACTTTCCTACTACCATTAAATGGTTTTTTTGTGTTTTTTTTTTTTTTATTGTTCATTTGTTTCTTTTTTTGTTTGTTTTGTTTTTGCTGTAGGGCACTTGCGCTTGCTAGAGAGAGAAAGTTAGAAATCACTCCCCAGGGATATGGTCATGCCACAGTGCCTTCTCCATTCCCATCTCGGGATTTAGGGGCATGCATACACATGCGCCTGGAGTAATTTTCAAGGCCCTGAGTCCAGGACTTGAACCATGCATCTGACCATTAAATGTTTCATTTTCATATATGGTGTGAGGTCAGAGTTCACCTTCATTCTTCTGCATGTGGCTATCTGGTTGTTCCAGCACCATTTTGTGAATAGTATCTTCAGTATTAAGAGTGACTATTTGATAATAAACAAATTTTCTTAATAGTTTGTCAGTAAGGTGAAACACTTAAAATCTAGGGTTTCACCCTGTCACCTGATTAAAAATAAATCATTCATAAGGTATTACATCTTTCAAGTTTTGGAGGGTTTTTGTTTTGTTTTTAAGACAAATTGTTGCTTTGTGTGTTTTAAAGAGAATAAAGAATGTAAAAACTGTTAGTAGTAAAAGCAGTTCCATTGCTTTGAATGTTTCATTATTTAAGTCACAATTCAAACAACAACTCCCTCTCTCTCTCTTTTTTTTTTTTTTTTAGGCAAACCGTACTTGCCCAATTTGCCGAGCTGATGCTTCAGAAGTGCATCGGGATTCAGAATGACCAACCTAAGAGCACAAATATAGTTTGGGTGTTCCTCATCACATGTATATACGGACTATCCATTGAACTTAATCTGTGTGGCTTCCAGCCCTCCCTTTACCAAAAGGGTCAATGGACCTTTCTTTGCACTGTGTGACTTAATCAACTATAAAAGCTTACAATTAGTCTTCACAATTATGGGATTGTTATACTAACCGTGTGATTGGAACTCCAAAGACTTTCTTTAGCTTAATTTCGTGTGTGCACTAACATTCCCTGGTTTTTGTGTGATCATTCCGAGTGTTGCTGCAAGATTACAGTGGACGTGATCTTTTAGCATGTGCTTTTATAAAAAGTGGTAGCTCCAGATGATATAGCAATCTACCTTATATAGAGCCTTCAGAAACTGTGAGTGGAAATGAATGCAGCGTATGATTGTTGGTGATAAATGTATCTGTGTGAGCGAATGTGTGCAACTACTTGTGTGAGGGCATGGTAGCTAATGTATGTATGAGATCCTATATACCAGCATGTACCAAGAATGTGTGCGTAGTTTTAATTATGCTGCAATGTATAATCTGGTGTGTTATTTAAACAGCACTAGTACTGTACACTGGTTTTTTTCCCTTGTGTTTGCTGTTGCACACTGATTGCTAAGGGTGCATCAATTATAAGCATTGAATACTCCATCTCCTTCCCTCCCAACGAATGGAATGAGAAAAGCCTTCTTCCTTTGCTTCAGGCAGCTGTCACCTTCTTTTCATTGGTGGTCCCAAGTGAGTCACTTAAGGAAAAAAGCGTAACAGATTCTCACTCCATGAACCTGATTTTTTATTCTGTTGTGGAAAAGAAATTTTTAAATCTCCAACTTGCTGTTTCCAAAAAGAAGGTGCAATATCATACATCATCAGTTAGCAATATTAGCATTTCAATCAATGATTTGAATGTTGATACTTTCGTGTTTTTTTCCTTTACATTTCCAGTAAGCTTTTTACGAAAGTACCTGTGACTTTTTTTTTAATGTCTAGATTTGTAGTCTATTCTGAAGATATTTGAGTAATATATTTCTAAGCATACCACTGGTCCCATGAAGTCTCACCTCCTTGACTTCCATCAGAACAAAATCTGTTCACTAACTCAGCTTGAACTTCTATGTGTTCCTTGTTCAAATTTCCATAGGCAACTGACTTGTTTAAGAACGCTGTTTTTCTGTTCCTATGAATCAATCACCTGCCAACCTCCATTTCTGAAAGTTACCTGATTGTTCCTCTCTCAGTAAATGTGCTTCTCATCAAAGCCCTTATTTCAGGATGGATCAAGCACTGTCACAGCTTTTGTTCCTTACACCTGATTTGCCTTGATATTTTATTGCTTTCCTTTTAATTTTTGTTTGAATGAGAAAAGTTTAATACAACAGGTATCCAGATTACTTGCAGTATAAATGAAGATTTGATTTTTGTATAAAAAATAATAATGCTGTCAAACAGGAATTGACCTTCATTTAGTTGACCTGAAATAATACGTAGCGTGTGGTTTTTTCTAAATAGGTCCACTGAGGATAATTCAGATTGGTTAATGTCAGTTCTCCAGCAAAGTTTCTTGTTCTTTTAGTGCATTCATCATTGCCTCTTCCTGCAGCTGGCGGCATTGCTTTATTTGCAGTAGCACAAGCTGCATTTTTCAGTCAGAACCATGGTGATTGGCTGCTAGCCTCACTCAGCTTTCATTGGCTCTGTGTCATTTTTCTGCTCCAACAGTGTTAACGACTTGTTATTGCCATGCTGCTTGCCTTCCCTTGAAATCCCTATAAGCTCATCACAGCCTAGAGTTCAGTAAAGTAAATGCACACAGAAGCACAATTTGCCCTTTTCCAGATACTGTTGCCTCTATCTAGTCATACAAATAAAATTTTGCATACTTTGTTTGCCCCTCGATTTGTCAGTGCATCAGACAAATACATCTAAATAGTGGTAAAATGCACATGCTACTTTTAAGTCATTAGGATAACCCCCACCTATTCCTAATGAATAAAAAGTGTGTCAGAGACCAAAATTATTGGCATAATAGTCAGCTACATACAAATCACGTATAGTTTAATCTTTATTTTTTTAATTAAAAAATCATGTTTAAAATGGCAAAAGCCCATCTTATACATAGACTCTTTTATATTGCTGCAAAAAATTTGTATCTGTACAGATCTAACATAACACTACTACACTCAGTATTCATTTTATTGAAGCATGCAAGTAAAGCACTTTTTCTAATTTATATAGATACCCAACAAGGCACATTGTACTAATGACTAGGAAAAGTAGCTTTTATTTCCCTCCGTCAGACTGAATTCTTGTCCTAATGTCCCTTTCCAGTGTATTTTTGAGAGGCAGTTAGCAATTTAAGAGGCAGCAGGGTCTGTTTGGATAAATCCTGAATTTAATTGTTGCGCTCTTGTGGTTGATCTCTCTTTGGGAATGTCTTTTCATTGCATGGGGCTCTTGGAGATGTGTGCAGATTTGCTTATTAAGTGGTTAGTGTGTATTAAGAGCACATATGCATGTGTTCTGACAAGCTCAGATTAGCCACAGTGAGCAACTTTGTAGCTAGCTAGCAAAAGCGAAAACAGTTGATTCATGCCCAGCATTCATGCCCAGCTGTTGTCACCTTGGGTGGTGCACCAGATAGCAGGCAGATGTTGGTTTGTTACCTTCATCTTTTTCCTCCTATGACAATATTGGCTTTATCATCATAACTCAGCTGTGAGGGTTTTTGTGGGTTTTTGTTTTTTGGTTTTTGTTTGTTTTTTTTTTTTTTTTCCCACATAAATTGTCATCGATGTTTTTTAAATTTCCACTCCCCCTCCTCCAAAAAAGATGAGGTCTCCAGGTATCAAGATCTCATAACAGGATTTTCTGTCTTAAAAAGAAATAATTTTTAGCAGAATCTGGAAAATGTGAAAGCCTATTTAGATTTTATATACTCTGAAATGTGATTTGTTAAGATACTTAAATTTGGACCTCATAATAATTTTGAATGAGATCTACCAACCAACTCAGTTATGAGAATATTTTTCACAGATATCTTTAGGCCTTCATTACTAGAAAGCTGTTTTCCCCCTGTTAGTACATTTGGTTACCTCATTTTGCTGTTTGTTTCAGATTATGAAAGCTTACAGGGGTGTTTTTTGGAATCATTTGCTGAGTTGTTTCCTTAAATCATATTCCATTGTATCAGTTAACATATAGTTTTAAATGTACGTATTATAAATATCTGTAACCAAATCATTTGAAGGCTTGATAAATTTTTAACAAAGTTTGTACATTTTTTATGAAAGTTACTAGTAATGCTTTACTAAGTAGTGCAATGAATTTTTATTTTTAATCCCTGTGCCCAATTTTGGAGTTGAGAGGGTTGTTGGTAATAAATGTATGATGTACACTTAAAGCATTTGTGGTGTTTCATGATACTGTATCAGGGAAGGGGGAGGGTTGTATGGGGTATAAACAATTTAGAAACAAAAATAATCAGTGTGGGAAGCTGCACACCAGCGAGTCTGCCGAGGTTTCTCAGAGAGCAAACAATTACCATGATTGGTTCCCTTCCAAAAACCTGACCTTTGAAACCTTGCTCTGATTGGCCACTAGAATCCCTCAAATTTGCATATCCGGCACCTCATGATTGGTCCAAAAGCAACCAATCATAGCCCACCGTTAACAACCAATCAGGGCCCACCGTTTACAACCAATCACGACCCACCGTTTACAACCAATCACGACCCACCATTTACAACCCACCAGAGTGTATATAACCACGATGCCTGGCCCACAGTAGCCAGGCGACACAGACGACCAAGACGACGACAATGACCAGGAAGACGACAACTGAAGAGCTGAAACACCGCGCAATCTCCAGACGACCCTGAAGATCCCGAAGAGCTGACACTGCATTGTCTCCAGACGACTTGCCCTGAAGAGCTGTAACACTACATCGTCTCCGGACGACCCTGAAGAGCTGTGACACCGCTTCGTCTCCGTGCTGCTCACAGTAGATGACGCGACACTGCATCGTCTCTGTGCTGTACCGTGCTGCCCACAATAAACGGACGACACTGTCGTCTCCGTGCTGTAACACTACGCCGCTTGTCCCAGCTCTCACTCCTTCACTCAGGAAACCTGTTCGGCTGTCCCCCCGGGTCGGGACACCTGGCGCCCGAACAGGGACTGGACAAATCAGCATCGCAATGTATGTATTTCTATCTTTGAAAAGGCCAAGAAAACAAAGTATAGTCCCATGTGGTAAATACACAATAAACAGTAGAGGTAAGTGAGCAGTGGGATTTCTTTCTGTGTATGTTAACCATAGCATAAGGGAAACGAGTACAATAAATAATTGAGTGATGTCCACCTTAGCTGTGTTTAACATCCAACTTATTGTTAACATAAAATGGAAAGGAACCTTTGCTTGTCATTTTCCATCATTCGTACCAGGGGTCTTCAAAAAGTTCATGGTAAGTGCATATTATGAAAAAACTGCATAGGTTTCAAAAAAAGTTTTCCACCAAAATAAATGTGTACGTTAATAACATTTTCCCTTGAACTTTTTGAAATCTTCCTTTTATTTGAAAAAGGAAGAAAATAAAACAATCTTATACATGTCCTGTGTTGAGAAGGTGCTATCCCCTGACTGGCTCCAGGACTCAGCTGACAGGATTCAGAAAAGTGACCAAGTGCTGATTATTTCTCTCATTTTTGCAACATACTCAGAAGAGTCAGCCTTTTGAGTGTCTCCAGAAGCCCCAAATTAGTTTTCTCCTGGTAAAGGCATTTATTGCTCAGTAGATACTCATACACTCTGCAGTGTGGCCTCTCCATCTAGGATCACTTAAGAGCCAGCTCTTGGGACCAGCAGATGGCATAATGGTTTCAGGTCCCAGACTGGGAGGCTTAAAACACTGGGGCATATGTGCAGGCATGCCCAAAATCCTGAGAGGAGAATGGAGGAGATGGGATTGAGGCTTGGCCGTCTAGGGGGTGATTTCTCTCTCTCTCTCTCTCTCCCTCCTTCCCTCCCTCCCTCTCTCCCTCTCTCTCTCTCTCTCTCTCTGGCAGGTGCACTCAGCCAATAGCAAAAAAAAAAAAGTTAAAAAGCCAGCTCTTTTTTTCTGACATGGTGATAGCAGTTTTGAGTCCTGAGTTACTACATGGAAGAGAGAGCTGTCCCAAGAAAGCCACTGGACCCTCAGCAGGCATTTTTGTGAGCAAGAAATAAAGGTATTTAAATAAGATGTGAAATGTAATCCTGGAAATATTTCAGGATTTTTCATTGGTACATCTGTTATGGTGATCAGTGATTTTTACTATGGTTATAATTATTCTGGGGTGCCATGAACCATCCCCATATAAGATGATTAACTTAAATGTGCATACTCTGACCCCCAACTCTCTTCTCTCCTCAGGCTTCCCTGTTCCCTGAGACATGAAGTACTGAAATTAGGCCGATTAACCCTACAATGGCTTCTAAATGTTCAAATGAAAGTAAGAGCCACACATCTTTCACTTTAAATCAGAAGCTAGAAATAATTAAACTTAGTACTGAAGGAATATTGAAAGCTGAGATTGGCCCAAAGCCAGCCAGTTAGCCATGTTGTGGAATGCAAAGGAAAGGTTCTTAAAGGAAATTAAAAGTGCTACTCAAATGAACACATGAATGGTTTAAAAAAAAAATCAAGCCTTATTGCTGACGTGGAAAACATGTTACAGGTCTGGATAGAAGATGAAGACAGCCACCACATTCCCTGAAACCAAAACCAGATCCAGAGCAAGGCCCTACCCTTCTTTAATTCTGTGAAGATGAAGTTTGAAGCTAACAGAGATGGGGGTTCATGAGGCTTACCAGCAAGAGGCCAACTACATAGTAAAAGTGCAAGGTGAGAGAGTAAGTGTTGATATAGGGAGAAGCTGCAACAAGTTACTAACAACAGGGTGGCTACACTGAACAGATTTTCAAGGTAGACAAAATTAGCACAAGCACACACTCATGTTCTCAAGCCTGTGATGTGAAATGTTCGATTGGCCATGTAGGATCTAGTTGCCTTAACCACCATGCCACCTTAACCACCATACCACCTGCTGGCCCAGCATCTGTTAGTCTGATCTTTTCCAGTTAAAAAATATCAGAACAATACTTGCCATGTATATTACAGTATATTGCCATGGTACTAAGTATGTATGCATGACATGTACACCTGGGGGCACTGTTGTACAAAACCAAGTTCCTTTAAATGCACTGGTCAGGATGAATGTGGTTATAAATGCCAAAAATGTGCTTTAATGTACAAAAAGGATACATTAGAAATATGTCCACTGGAATAGCACAGAATCACTACAGCTCAGAGACTCCTTCCTTCCTGAGCAATGCTATGTTTGTTTCCCACAGAATAGGGCTTCTAAAAGTTTAAGTGATTTTTGAATGTTTAGTTCACAACTGTTTACTCTAATTCTTTCTCCTTCCTTCCTTTCTCCCTTCCTTTCTCTCTTTTTTGTTGTTTATTCTAAAATGCAACTTTGTTTAACTTTAGAGTCCCTCCTGCTTAGGAACTCAGCTCCATTGCTCTTTCCACGCATACAGTAGGTACAGTGAGATAAAGATGGCTGTGTCCACCGAGACCTGCCCCTGCCAGTCAGAGGCTACCTACATGTCAAGGCTAATGAAGGATTTCCTATCTACCCTGCTGGACTTCTCTGTAGAGATGACACTAACTGTTTTCCTCATTTCTTCCAGCTGTATCCCTTTGACTTCCATGCTACTCTTCTCACTCTGTCCTCCTTACCACTCTGAGTTTCTTCTCTCTCTCTCGTCTGGGTTTTTTCCTTTGGCCTACTCCTTTAACATGCTCCCCACCCTCTGTTTTCCCCTTCTGCAGACTTCCCTGGAGTAACTGCATCCTCTCCTGCTCATCCAGCTACTAGCAGTTAGGACTGAGGGGTTCACATCTCCCGTCCCAACCTCCCCTTGGAGCTTCTGCCTTGTGCTTCCTGCTAGACAGCTCTGAATCTCCGCTCCTGAATTCCCTGTAGCTATTCAGACTCAGTGTAGCCAAATATGAACTCATTGAAATCCCCCAAACTATTTTCTTCTCTCCTGTACTTTAGTTCCACTGTGGCCTACTATCCACCCAGCCAGAAACAAGGAAGTCCTCCTTAACGCAGTCCTCCTCCTCTCTACCTAGTGAATTGTCCTGAGTTTGTTCCTTTCCTCCACAGCCTAGTTCAGGTCTCATCATCTGTCTTTGTGTGATCTCACTTCCATCTTTATACCTCCATGTTCAAACCTCTATGCCACCTCCAAAAGGAGTCACTAAAATACAAATACTATGGCACCTTTACCACCCCTCCCACCCAAAGCCCCAAACCCTCCAATGGCTCTCCACTCACTTTAAGACAAAGTCTGACTACTGATACGCCCTTCCCCAACAAAAGCCTTTTTTTTTGTTTGTTTGTTTTTTTGAGGGAGGTTTTTGCTATAGGGCATGTGTGCTTGCCAGAGAGACAGAAAGCAAGAAATCAGCCCCGAGGGGGCACTGCAATCTCCTCTCGGGATCTTGGGCACGTGTGCACATGCGCCTGGTGTGAGTTTAAGCTGTCAGGTGCGGCACTCAAACCGCGGTCAACTATGTGGGAGTCAAGCAACAAAGCCATTATGCTAACTGGTGGTCCCAACAAGAGCCTCTTTAACCACCTGTTTATGCCTCCAGCCTTGGCTCTCAAGACTCCTCTTCCTGACATTTTATGTTAGCATTGCCTGCTGCTTTCAGTCCTCCCAGACACTGTTCTTTTTCTTCTGCATTCTTCCCCCTGCAGACCCTTTTGCTCAGAAGGCCTTTTCCTTCCCTCCCTCCTCTCCTGACTGAAGTCCAGTGTCAGCTCTTCCAGGAAACCTCTCCTGAACATGGTAAGCTTGTGCACAAGATAGCGCCCTCTGCTGCTGTGAGAGCCTTGGCACATGTGGTTTCCCTTCCCCAGGTGTAATCACTTGTGCTTGTGTGTTTCATATCTTGTGTTGCACTGTCTCATGCATGCCTTTTACCCCTGAGACCTAGCCCATGGGAGGGCTGAATTGACCCTTCTTGAATGAAGGAGTGGAGAACTCCCAGGCCTGGATGGTTAGATAACTGATTAGGTCAGTCACCGCAGGAGTGAATCGTGGAGGAGGGTCAGGTTTCTGAAAAAGTTCAGGAGAGGAGAGTATATATGAATTAAAGAAGGTCAGGTTTCTGAAAAAGTTCAGGAGAGGAGAGTATATATGAATTAAAGAACCTGGGCTTTGACCCCGGGGGGGGGGGGGTGTCTCAGACACAGACAAAGGCAGAAGTCTAGTGAGCAATGCAGTTGAGAAGGTCTAGAGCTCCCGAGAGAAGCTGAGTCATCATCAGGCATCAAGAACATTTCTTTGAGAACCAGCAGTTAGCGTAATGGCTATGTGGCTGCACTCCCATGTAGTTGACCGTGGTTCAAGTCCCAGACCTGGTGGCTTAAACTCAGGCTGGGCGCATGTGCGTGCGTGCCCAATATCCCAAGAGGAGAAAGGAGAAGAAGGGATTGCAGCATGGCCATGCCCCCTGGGGGGTGATATCGCACTTTCTGTCTCTGGGGAGCGCAAGCGCCCTATAGCAAAAACCTCTCAAAAAAAAAAAAAGTTTCATTGTGGCACTTCCAACAAGGCTGACTTCAGGAGGCCTCAGGCAGAAGTCTCCTTTTAAGGAGAGAACCCTCTAACTCCTTTCCCTTCATTCCAACTTCCAGGGTAAAAACCTTCAGAAAGGCTTAGTATTAAAACCACATAGGAGGGACCAGCAGATGGCATAATGGTTATGTCGTTGTTCTTTCATGTACTCAACTGTAGTCAAGTCCCAGTCCTAGTGGCTTGAAACTCACACTGGGAGGGGCTGGCAGGTGGTGTGGTGGTTAAAGGCACTGGACTCCCACATGGCTGACCATGGCTCAAGTAATGGACCTGACGACTTGCTTTCTTACCCCCCACACACATTCTCTCCCTTTTTGGTCAAATTGGATGAATGAATAAGGTTAAATAAAAAATAAAAATAGTAATTCTTTAGGGGGGTGGGGGCAGGGAACCAGCAGTTAGTGTAGTGGCTATGTCGTTGGACTCCCATGTAGTTGACCGCGGTTCCTATCCCAGACCCGGTGGCTTAAAACTCACGCCAGGTGCGTGTGCGTGCATGCCCAAGATCCCAAGAAGAGAATGGAGGAGAAGGGACTGCGGCGTGGCCATCCCCCCTGGGGGG